AAATTAAGAGGCTTAGAAATTACCAATGCGTCCAGAAGCTTTCTATCCTCCAAAGATATAGTTAGAGTGGTTGTAACAATTTGTTGAAGTTCTTGCGAAAATTGAATTTGCTGCTCAGCTGTTGCATTCAACTGTTGCTGTTGTTGTCCAGTCTGATTTATTACTGGAAGAGTACCAGTTGTACTGCTCGACATGGTCTGTTGCTGCACAGGCAGATTAGCTGCTGTAAATTCTTGCAACCTAGTTCCATTTGTCTTTTGTTGCTGCCTAGACTTAGGGATAAAATCAGGAGCTTTAGGATCAAGCTTATTTCCTGATCTTAACTTAGAAGAACTTCCAATATTAGGAAAGGATGGTGATCCTACTGATAACATCTCATCATCTCCACTACACCTCTCACTTTCATCAGAAGAATCCTCCGCAAAATCAACACCCAAATCTTCATCATCATCATACTTAGGTTGATCATCCCATAACTTAGATTTAATTGTCATTGCCCTCACATTTTCTTTAGTTAACTCATTGTTGTTTCCTGTGGACAACACCAACTGTACCTGATCACCACCATGTTCGCCACAAGAGTCCAACGATTGTGATGGTACTTCAAAGATGGAAGTGTTCAATGTAACCCATGGTTGTTTAACCATATTAGTGTTTAGCATCATCTCGTTCTGTGCATGTTTGATTATTTTTTCCACCTGTGGACTGGAGAACTGCAAGGCCGGAGCATTGGAGCTATGTGCATGATTGCCCTTTAGCTCCCTCGCAACTGGCACAATGTCCAAAGGAAAACCAGAATTTTGCTATTTTTTGTACTTGCTAGAGACCTCTGTTGCGTAATTTTTAAATCTGCATTTAGATCCTTATGCTGAAGATCTTGCTTACCATGTTCATGTGCACAAACCAAGGCGTCAAAAGAGTTAGAAATCTTAAACTCTGTTGCTGCCTCCAGATTTTTATGATCTGAATATCCTTTTCTGCTAGGTGATCGATGCACTACAGACCAGCCATTAACAGGTGATTGTTGCCCATGTTGAGATCCTGCTTCTAACATATTAGTAGAGTTGTTGTTAGCAGATGTTCCACCAACTTCACCAGTATCTCGTTTGCCACGAATTCCAGTTACACCATCTCCTTTCTCAAGTTCCTGTCCATTCCTGTTAGCATTACTATGATGAGAGGTTACTTTAGTAACCTGTTTATCCTTGGATTTTCTTTGGTCATTAGGAGATTTCCCAAAACCTTCAACGCCTAATTCAATATCTCCAACAGCCTCAAAACTAACTGCTTGCACAACTGACTCAAACTTGGTCATTGTAGCAAATTGTTCACCTACAACTGTTGATTTCTCCGCTGGTTCAAAAAGTGCTACAGCTCGATCCCCAATTATTTTCGAAGCAGTAGTAGCCATCATACCTGTTGCAGTAACCAAATCATGCTGCTCTACAACACCTTCACGTGCCCTACTTCCCTCACCAACAGTACCATTAGCCATGCTTGCCAAGCTGAGTAATTTCTCCTCATTCTCACCAGCACCTTTGTCAACGTTATCCTTCCCCATGCTATTTGGATCGCTAATAACATCCTTTGAGACTGGTCGTAAATTACTCTGCCCTGCTACAGCTTCATGATGAGAAGCGTTAGCAAGAGCTGTATCAACAGGAACCAAAGCAGCAGTAGATACAGCTGTTACATGTGCTGTCTTGATCAAATTTTCAGCGTGTTCATGAGCCCTTTGAGAAGCTCTTAACACCTTTGTAGCATCTGTATGGTTAATGTGATCTCCAGCATTTCGATCACCATCATTTAAGGCCCTCCTCTCTTTCAAAAACTGATGCAAATCTCCCTTGTATTTCGCACCACCAATTTGTTCTTGACGAGGCTGCTCTTCATCAATCTGAGCATCCTCATCACGATTTTTTTTTGAAGTCTCTGACACGTAGTTTCATCATGGCCTTGATTCTTATAACAATTACAATACAGAGGTAAATTATCGTAAACGATTTCTTGAAAAACCTCCAGTACTTTTCCAGAAATTGTATCCACACTTTGCAACCTTACGCGATTAGGATGTTTATCAAGCAAGTCTAATATCACCTTCACCCTAGCAGTGCAAGGTCTGGACTTAGTTTGTGTTACCTTATCAATGGCAATTGGTTTTCCTACAGCAGATGTTATAGACAACAATGAAGGCATCGCAAACAAATCTGGTGACAGATTTGGCAACGATATCCAAACCACTGCTTTTGTTGTTTCCTCATTTGGGTAATAACCAATCGTCCATGGAAATACACGATATTGAAGCTGAACACCCTTATACAGCAGATAATTAACAGAGCGAGCTAAGCACTTACATTATCATCATAACGATCAAACCTTAGCAGTAATTGTCTTGGTGCGAGTAAACCGATTATACATCGACATTTAACACCTAAGTGTTTGGGCAGTAAATCTCGTTGCTCATTGAGTTCTGGTGCTCCTGGAGATACTTTCATCACTATTTATTGATACAAGCCTTCCTCCACAACAAACTGTTGTTGTTCTTCTAAGAAAAACATTACAGTTGGCTCTCCATGGATGAACTAGACTGGTTTGAGTTTTGGAGTTGTGCGAGGTATGAGGTCTATTTTTGTTGCGATTTGCTGAGCATATGTGGGTTTTATTGGTGGCTCTCCCACAGCCAAAGACTGGGGAGAGACGACAGCATCCATGGCTGCTCAAAACGTCACCATATCATTGACGTGGAGAACTGAAAATAACAACAAAATCTGAAAAATTTTGCTTGCTACAGTAAATCGCGAAATAGAATTTAAGATCTAGAAAAATAGGTTATGAATTTGAGGATGAAACCAGTTGGGGATTGTTCTCTAAGAGAAAAGGGTTCTTTTAAGACCAATCTTGTGATATTACCTTGCCGGATGCCGGAGTTATGGCCCGATGAATAGTGACAGAATTACTATTCACCTTTTTCCTAGAGAGAAGAAGGAGGATATCATGCATCAGTTACTTTTCCCACAACATTTACATAGTTAAGTTAGCAAAAAATAAAATTCTTTCTCTAGAATGAAATTTCCTATCAGTTAACGCTGAATATGGGTAGGAAATCCAAGGTTGGGGCGAGAGGATAGTAAATCCAAGTCAAAATCAAGGAGGAAAAGGTGTTCCTAGGACAAAAGATTCAAATAAAATAAGAAATTTGAATGCAATTCATGGAATTGTACCATTGGATATGGATTGAGTGTCGGCAACTTTAAACCCAACTGTAACACTAGCGAATACACAGAATGAAAATGTGGAGGGGAGAAGTGATGTAAGTAGATGATCGTGGGCTGATGAGGTGGAGGAGGAAGCAATTGCACTTGTTGCACAGAGTAAGACGCAAACCCTAGAAACTAGACCTTCATGGAGTAAGATTGTAGGAACTATTCCAATGGAAGAAGGTGAGGATTTGAAACGAGAAACACTTGTTAACAGCAATGTGAAAATAACTCTAGAAGATATCCATAAGGAGGTGGAGTATTGGAAAACATGGATAGTATGTTATGTGTTGGGCTCAAATCCACCTCAAACAGCCATTGAAGGATACTTCAACAGAATTTGGGGAGGGTTGGAAATTGATAAAGTTGCACAAGTACATAGAGGAGTGTTTCTCGTCACATTTCACACACTTGAAAGTCGCACAAAAGTAGTAGAAGATAGAGTCCAGATGTTCGACAGAAAGTCTGTTATAGTCAAGCCTTGGCAACCAGAAATAGAAATGAAGAAAGAGATAATGGAAAACATACCAGTATGGATCAGACTTCCGGGACTGAATGTGAAGTATTGGGAAAAACAAGCATTAGAAAAAATAGCAGGGTTGGTTGGCAATCCTCTGAAAGCATACAAAGCCACTACAATGAAGGAGAGAATGACATTTGCTAGAGTATTGGTGGAAGTTCCCATTAATAAGGTATTTCCAGACACAATTATGTTTGACAATGAGCATGGACACATTGTGGAACAAGATGTGAAATTCGAATGGAAACCAATACTATGTACCAAGTACAAATATTTTGGGCATGAACTAAAGGAATGCAGAAAGTACATAAGAGAAGAAACAAATAATACGGCATTAGCAAGGGAAGAAGAAGCAAAAAATGGGGCAGAGAATACAAGCAATGGAGAACACAAAGAAAACAGCACAGTAATGAACAAGGATGCAACTGGTGTAGAGAAATATTAGCAAAGGGAAGGAAAGCAGGTGATGGTAAAACCAAGAAAAGAAAATTTCTATTACAGGAGGGGTAATACAAGAAGAGGAATAGTGATCAGAGAACCACAAATCAATATAGGGAATTCATTTGCAGCCTTAGATGACCAGCAAAGCAAGAATGAAGGCATATCTATACCTCCCTGCCCTAGAGGAGGTGAAGCTGAGGGAGGTCCAAGACATGAAAAGGGTGGGGGACACCCCAACCCTAATGGATAGGATTGGTTTTTGGAATCCCAGAGGTTTGAATAAGCCAGATAAACAGAGAGAAATAAATTTGTTTATCCATAATCTAAGGGTTGGCTTGTTTGGATTTCTGGAAACAAACATTAAGAGAGCTAAGGCACAGAAAGCTTCTCTCAATCTTTGTCAAGGCTGGTCGTTCACAACAAACTTAGAAAGCACCCAGGAGAAAGGATATGGCTGTTGTGGAAACCTCAACTATATGAGGTAAACATAAAGGAATTGACTGAATAACTAATTCACAGTGAAGTCAAACATCAAGGGAATGGGCTCAGTTTTAATGTCACATTAGTGTATGGTTTTAATAAGCAAGCAGCAAGAAGGAAACTCTGGGAAGATATCAACCAGATAGGTACTCAGATGGATGGCCCTTGGGCTGTGATGGGCGACTTCAATTGTGTCCTTAACAAGGAGGAAAGAATAGGAAGTAAAGTAATAATGGCTGAAACAAGAGAATTTAGACAGTGTATTGAAGTGTGTGGTTTGAAGGAGTTTAGATCTTCAGGAGCTTTCTTCACATGGAATAACAAGCAAGGGGGAGATAGTAGAGTTTATAGTAAAATAGACCGTGTACTGGTAAATACTGAATGGATGACAGACTTGCATGTATCAGAAGTACACTTCATGAGTGAAGGCATATATGATCATTGTCCAGCAATAATAAATTGGGAAGGGGGGAGTACAGGGCATAAAAGGCAGTTTAGATATTTTAATATGTGGAGCCTAATACCAGAATTTAAACCAAGAGTACAAGAAGTGTGGAAGAAGGAGCTGAAAGCCACAAAGATGTATAAACTGGTGGGGAAGCTGAATAGAACAAAGAGTGTACTGCAAAGACTAAACAAGGAAAGATTTTCAGATGTTGAAGGGAAGGCAGAAACAGCAATGGCAAGCTTGATAGAGTGTCAAGAAAAGATCCAAAAAGATCCTAGGAATGCTGAACTAATTATAGAGGAAATCAAATTGATGCAAGAAAGCATTAAATGGAAGGCAGCTAAGGAACAATTCTTGAGACAAAAGTGCAAGATACAGTGGCTGAGACAGGGTGATCAAAATAAAAATACTTTCATAATGTGATAAAAGCCATAAGAAATGCTAATAGGATTTTTTCCATTAAGGATGCAATAGGGAAGGTGCATACAGATATGGAAGGGATTGCAAATTCCTTCATTAACTTCTATAAGAATCTGTTAGGTGAATGTAAAGAAGGAAGACAACATATATGTAGCAATCTAGTTCGAAGAGGGCCTATAGTACAACAGGAGCAGAGAGAAAAGTTGAAAGCTCAGTTTACTGAAAAAGAAGTAAAGGCAGCCTTATGGTCAATAGTAGGAGATAAATCCACAGGACCTGATGGCTATGGAAGCCAATTATTCAAGGACTGTTGGCCAGTTGTAAAACATGATTTAATAGGAAGTGCAATGGAGTTCTTTGAAATGACAAAAATGCTCAAGATTATCAACAACACAACTATAACTCTTGTCCCAAAGAACAATCATGCAGATGAGGTAGGAGACTATAGACCTATTGTATGCTGCAACACTGTTTATAAAGTAATCTCTAAGATGTTGTCCAATAGATTAAAAGAAGTATTACCCACAATAATAGTTGAGAACTAGAGTGCTTTTGTGGAAGGCAGAAGCATTGTATAAAACATCCTTATTTGTCAAGACCTGGTGAAACTGTACAACAGGAAGAAGTCCACACGAAGTTGTTTAATTAAAATAGATCTAAAGAAAGCATATGACTCAGTGGAATGGGGATTTGTGGAAGAAATGTTACATGCCTTAAACTTTCCTCCCATATTCATCAAATGGACTATGGTATGTATATCTACAACTCAATACTCAATTGCATTGAGTGGGGGACTCTATGAATGTATTAAGGGGAGAAGGGGATTGCAACAGGGAGATCCTATATCACCTCTTCTATTCGCAATATGTATGGAATATTTTACAAGAATCATGCAATGGGTAGCCACTCTTGATGGATTTGCTTTTCATACAAAGTGCAAGAGTTTGAAGCTAAATCACTTATGTTTTGCTAATGATGTATTAATGTTTTGCAAAGGAGACTATCAAAGTGTATTGCTTATGTTGAGAGGTCTACAAACATTCTCTAATGCATCTGAACTTAGTACGAATGCTGGGAAATCAAATGTCTATAGTGTAAATATGGAAAGTCAATGCTTAGCTAATATCTGTGAGATAACAGGGTATAAACAGGGAACCTTGCCATTTAAATACTTAGGGGTTCCTATAGCATCAAGGAAACTGGCAGCAAGGGACTGTGAATTACTAGTGGATAAACTGAGCATAAGAATACACTCTTGGGGATCGAAAAACTTGTCTTATACAGGCAGAGTTCAATTGATTAACTCTACGTTGATAAACATACACTCCTACTGGGCAACAATCTTCATTCTACCAAAGAAGGTCTTAAAGGACATCATGGCAATCTATAGGAACTACTTATGGGATGGAAAAGGAATATCAAATAAGGTGTCATTGGTAGTTTGGGATTTAGTAGACCAAAAAGAGAAGGGGGATAGGAATAAGAGATTGCAATATATGAAATGAAGCTGTTGTGGCAAAATATGTTTGGCACATTGCAAACAAAGAAGATACGTTGTGGGTTAAATGGGTGAATCTTAACTATTTGAAAGAGGAAAATTGGTGGCACTACACTCCTCATAGGGCTGTTGTTAGTACTGGAGGAAAATATGTTCTATACGAGATACGTATGCAGCAGGATATGTAGAGAATGAGTGGCAAACTAAGGCTGGAAAATACACAATTAAGAGTGGCTACCACTGGAGAAGAGGGGAACTGGAACAATGGCCTTGGAGCAGAGGGGTATGGAACAAAATGAATAATCATAAGCATAGTTTCATTTGTTGGCTTGCAATGCATAGGAAACTATTGACAAAAGATAGAACACTAAGAATGGGGATTACACAAGACAGTGAATGTATGCTATGTGCCGGACAAGCAGAATCGATTGACCACCTATTCTTTGAATGCGTATTCTCTAAGATGTGTTTAGAAGAGGTGCTTAAATGGCTTGGGATGAATATAAAGAACACAAAGGTGACAGGTACATGGAGAAGAATGGCCAGAGTATATGTGTTAAACGGGTGAGCCGGGCCGGGTTGCTATTTTTTGGACCCGTACGGGTTACGGTCCGGGGCGGTTACGGGTTGTGGCTTAACGAGTTTAACGGGTTCGGGTTCATCCGGGTAAAAATTGAATCGTAAGGGTTACAGGTTAAGGGGCCGGGTCGGGCCGGGTTTAGTGTATTTTTTAATTTTTTTTGTATTTTGTATAACTATTGTAAGTTATATTAATAATTTGTATTAATTTAAAGATTACAAGTTATATTAATACAAAAGTATTAATATAAATTGCAAGTGCTACATTTATTTCAAAATTCAAAATTAAAGTTTGCATTTAAAAAGTAAATTAACAAAAAATAGTAAAACTAAATTTTCATGCATAATAAATTAACAATACTTCAATTAATCTAACAAACTAAAACATTAAGCATAAATACGTCTAATAATTTTAAAATAACACAAATTGTCTTAAAATCTTAAATACGAATTTCCGGAGAACGCTCAAGACAATATTTTATATGCCTCCTTAAACTGCCTGTGCCAGACTCTAAACGAAAATTTAAGACTTGACCACAGTTCTTGCACTTTACTTTCTGACATTCTTAATTTTCTTCTACCACCTCAAAGTGTTGCCAAACATATGAGCGCACTCTAGAAGTACGAGACATGATTTAAATTGAATTGAGATTTGAGAATTTGAGATTGAGACTTGAAATCTTGAAAATTGGAGAATGAGAGAATGAGAGAAATTGAGATTGAGAAATGAGAGTTGAGTGAAGAAATGAAGAAGAGGGGGTGTATTTATAGTTTTAGAGAAGGTTAATTTTGTAAATTGAAAAAAGGTTAAATTTTAAAGAAAAAGAGGCTATTAATGCAATTAACCCGTTGGGCAACGGATCCCTGCCAGGTCTAACCGTTGCCAACGGTTAGTGGGCCCCACTTAATTCAAAAAATTAAAAAAACAAAAAAAAAAGGTTGTACCGGGCCAGGCCGGTTTAACCGGTACACGGTACTGTTCACGTGGACCGGGTTTGACCGGTCCGGTTAACCGTTACCAAAATTTAAACGGACCAACCCCATCTACCCCTCTTACCCAGCCCCACCCGGCCCCCTATGTACCGGGCCGGTCCGGTTCCAGTTTTAACCGGTCTGGGTCGGTCCGGTTATGGGTCAACCTGGTCCGTTAGACACCTTTAGAACAGAGTAGCCAAAGGGAAAATAGGAAGATCGTTCACAAATGCAGTGGTTGCAGCAGTCACATACCACATTTGGAGAGCCAGAAATGAAGCAGTCTGGTTGCAGAAAGTACCAAGACCTCAAACAGTACTGAAACAAATACAATACACATGTAAACATAGATGTTTGGAAGTTATACAGAAAAAGAAGAGACAGAAAGAGATGAGCTGGATTGAGAGACTATACAAGTAGTTTGCAGGAAACAGGCACAAAATGTATATAATTATATAGATAGAAAATAAAGGAAGATGATAGGGGTATAGAAAGGGCAGGAAAGGATAAGAAAAAGAATGATACGAACAATTGTATGTGTTTTGGTTCTAGATGATTGAATAATAAGCTTTATTTCCACCAAAAAAAATTAGCAAAAATAACAATTGTACAAGAGCAAGTTCTGTGAAAATAATAAGCATTCTCATATTAAAATCATAGGAAGACATTAAAAGTAGTTTCCAACTGCAATATAATCTCAATTCACATTCTCAAAAGATGTCTTATTATTAATTATAGGATTTAAATATAGAGAACATGAACATATAGTATCTAGTGAAAATAAGGCTAACATGCAAGGAGTGGCGGATCTAGAGTATAATATATGGGTTTTTGGGAAACTAGTAATTTTTGCGTAGACCCTGTATTTCTAATTAAAAAAATGCATTAAATATCTATAAATAACTAATTGTGAACCAAATTATTATTATATACTCTATTATTTGAGATTACTACAGGAATTCATAAACTTTAAATTCTGGATCCGCATCTGCTAACAAGATCAATTGTAATGTATTTTGTTGGATCATCTCTTTGAAAATTTGTGGATCTTCACATCTCCACAAAACGAACTCACATCACCTTAGCAAATCTATCATCGCCCCTTATCTTGTCAGGCAAATTATCAAAAGTCACTTGTACTGTCGTACACTCTCTTTTCTGTTGATGAATATCTCCCTTGTAGGAAACTGAAACCACTGCGCTTTTGTACTCAACTTCGTGAGGGGCACGAGTTTCGACAACGATATTGATAATCAAGTTTTGAGCAGAAAGGGATGAAGAACTATCAATGTTAGTAGTTGTGATTTCTTTAGTTAAAAATTGGTGATGATTTTCAACCATTGCTCTATCAGTTTTGATAAGGAAAATAATGAAACCTATGAACACACCAAACATGAGAATGACCCCAGGTATATTTACTAGTAATTCCTCACATAGACTTTCAGAATTTTCAATATTTTTTTGTACATTGGATGGCTTAGTATTGTTTTGTTCTTCCTAGAAATGGCAATTGGGGCAGGGCGGGGCGGGTATGGGCAGGGCAAATACTAAACGGGGCAGGGCAGGGCACAACTACATTTTTGAAGAATCTTAATGGGGCAGGGCAGGTTGTAGGCCAGCCCTTAGTCTCATTAGTGGGCCATTAAGTAGTTTGAGGCCCAATTCGTTCCTTACTTTTTTTTATTGTCCATGTTTTCTTTTCTTTCATAAATTGATAAATATGTACTTGAATATGTCAGATTTTGTGTACGTGGCTATGTATTTGACTATATATATACATAATTAAAATATTAAAGTAGCTAGCAATTGCGCCATACTTGATAAACAAATGCTTATGTTATTACATTATTGGGTTTAGTGACAAAGAAACGAAACAACATTTATTCGAAAAATGTTGTTCTATTCTGCTTTTCCTTCTGATTCTTCAAGGAGACTACAAATTGAAAGGGAAAGT